TGTTATTGTTTAATTGAAGAATCACTAATTTCAAGAGAAAAACGAAATACCATAAAATGGCCATCTTTCCATAGCAACGCGATGTATCGAAAAAATGGCAAAGACGTCTCGAGGTGTTGACCTAGTGATCGAGTCACCACTAGAAAGAACTTTTTTGGACCCTCCATCTTTCCCATATTCTTCGCCAAAAAATGGAAATTTTTTGCCGCCTTACATTTACACCCTGTATAACGAGAAGGATTTTTTTAAAAAAATGTACGACGACACTGACGCATAGACCAAAGATGGCGCTTTGTAACCCTGCCTGATAATCCAAGATGGGCAAAGAAATGTCGAAGTTATAGCAAGTCAAAATTGGGCAATTTTTCGGGTGTCCCACTTCATCTGCCGCTTAGTTTATTTCACTAGAGTGTTTTACATTGGCAAAATGTCATATGAACGGCCGGTTTCCTACTGACAAAACTTCTACCTGTTCCTACCTGGACAAAACCAACATGATGGTTTTTCAGCGACAAAATTTTGTGTGGTTAATGTAAAAAACTATTGAGTTTGACCTAAAGAAAATAAATTTTCCAAACTAAAATTTGGCTTATTTTTCTCGTGAAATAGTCCAGCCGAATACCACTCAAGAAAAAATTATGTAGGCAATATTATTCTCTTGGTTTTATTCAAGTTTGTTGCTTTTTGGTGATTTCGGTCATGAAATTTTTGACAAAACCACTCGCCTGACGGCTCGTGGTTTTGAACAAAATGTCATTCGCGAAATTGCCCAGCAACAAACTTTCATACCTGTCGAAAATTTTGCCAACAAAATTTTTTCTCTTGTGGTATTACATATGAGAATATTATATTTTGTTTGTAACTTTTTTATTGATTTATAAATAATGGAAGAGCTAAGCTTATTTGGCAATGCAGCGTGTGCGTTTTTCGGCTATAGCAAACACTTTGGTCATCTTTTTTTGCACATTGAAATCACTTAAAATTTTCAGAAATTTTCACATGATTTTCCGCGGGAATCTCGATTACGAACTGTGATTACTCTCTGGCAATTTTTCAGTGTTTAAAAGGCATTAAAACACCCATATATCATCATCATCAGCGAACTAACCACTCAGCCCTTAAAATGCTAGAAAAAAGAAACGACTCCACTCAGAGTCTATTACACTAGCTATCTGTTTCTGATTTACCCGTCATTACACGCGCCAAAAAACTTACGTCATTACACGCGTTCGGTCAATTCGACCGACTGTCCAAAAGTTTGTAGGAATTATTAGCTTTTTTCGCGGAGACGATCCCAAACGTATCCTGAACGCTAAGGCATGACCTATGCAGGTTTACTAATCAATAGAGACATGAAACTCTCAAATATTACCTGCGTAAGTCATGCCTTAGCGTTCAGGATACGTTTGGGATCGTTTCTGCGAAAAAAGTTTACAAGCACTATAATTCCTAGAATTCATAATCATTACACAGGGAATTATATTATGCAGTACAGTTACCGTATTATCGACGGACAAAAGTACTCCCAATATCAGAAAATACCAATTTTGAACACAAATATTTTAGATACTCAGGTTCACGCGCCTAGTCAAAAGCATCGACTATGAAAACAACGAACTATACTTCAACCAAAAACCAAAATATTTTTGGACCAACGGGTAGTGGAAAACTTGCGTCAGGCATTCCTGGATGGACAAAACTGCCACCCTTGTACCAGTGACGTAATTACTGATTTTATCAATGGTCGGTCTTTTTGACCGACAAGCGTGTACTCCCGGGTTAAAAGAAGCAACTTTTTTTCAAAAATAAGTTTCAAATAAGACTCGAATAATTTAAATGACATAAAAACCCTCTGAACTTTTGATATGAGTTGGCGGTGTCTGTGACTGACCTGTTCTTCAGGCTAGGACAATCGCACCCATCCTTTGAAGAGATTAGAGGCTCTGCCGTCTGCGACGTAATCGCCTAGGTTGAATAGCTAGGCTGGGTGAGTAGCTGATAAGAATGACTTCTCCTCTTGCGGAGGGTATGCTGTGGCCGAAGTGTTGTGGTATCGACCACCCTCCCATACTTACAGAATACAGGATGTCAACATGTTAAATAAAAATCTTATTTTTTTTTGGTCTTTATAATAATTTATTCAGTCATTGAGAAAATAATGCTCGTATCTCATGCTCTATTTGTCGCTCGGGAAGTTGCATGCGGGAAATTATTACTTGTCAGGAACATAGCAATTCTCCATAAGCTGGAAGAAATTTAATTTTCAAAATTGAAGTTCAGGTTATTCTCTTCTTTTGATTAAGTAGTCTTTAAAAATTGTTGCCCTTTTTTGACATCATTGTTGAAGTGAACGATTTCAATTGCCATTTCTACAGTAAACATTTTTGAGATTGCACTTGAATTAGGATCATTTTTCCTGAGCTCTTTTAACGTAATGTGACAGAAGGTCAACTCGTGTTTATTTGGTGAGACGATCTAAATTTGGTTTTACAATGAATCGCCCTTGGGACTTTTAGCAATATTTGTAGACTTCAGCCACATCGGACGGCATCTTTCTTGGCTTATTGGACAATGTCTTTCGGTACCCCCTCCATTCATATTCTCTCTAAATTCTTCTTTCATATTGATCTTGAATATTTGCTAAAATAGGATTGAAAATCAAAAACTTTCTAGTTACCTGACCAATGAAACACAAAAATTTAATTGCGCAGGAGCGATAATTTCCCAGGCTATGAGATTTCAGATTTGCACTACTCTCCTTAGTAGTGCAGAAAAGTCAAATTTTCGTATGGCCGCGGCTAAAGGGAGTAGCAATTTTCCGTAGGCCCCTATGAAAAATTATTAATTGCACACTAAACAGTTTTTGGGTGAAGACGACGTTGGCATATCTAAAGTAATCCCAACGCTATTGCGTAAATAACTGGTCATTTTCAGATCGGGGAGGCAGGACCGAACTGAGACGATGCCATTGTTACGTCTTATTTCAATAGCGGTTGATCTCGAAAAATAACACTCAACGTCATTAAAAACCAAACGTCATGAAATGCCTCAAGCAGATTTTTTTTCCCATAGAAGCTTCAACTGAATCCAATCCTGTCCCAATAGAAATGCTGGAAAACCAGCTGGTGTTTGTTCACATTTAACGTCATTTACAGCCGCTTGGATTTGCAAATAGTATAGGCAAGAATTGCCGAAGGATTTAGTGACCTTAGAACAATATGTTTGTATCGAGTTGCCTTTTCTATGGTTCATATGTTAATCAATTCAATCGGTGTCAAAAATGTTACATGCGTTTTACCAATAAGGTACCAATTTTAATGTAGAACGTACTTTTACAATTATTGTGTCCTGAAAAATCACTTAGTATAGATGAACTTAATAACAAGAAATTAAAATTTGCAGTATACATTGTAAAAAGTCTGAAATCATCTATTATTGGTCCCTCAATTTTAGAAATAACATATCTTTGGTATTTATCTTTTAAAAATATCCCACATAACAAAATTGCATCCTTAGAATGTAATGGGAATGTTCTTTTTTTAGGAGGAATGTGCCTAGAATGTTCGCCAAAACCATTGCGAATTTCCTGAGAATGTTCTGAGAAAAGATTGTAGAAATACCGTTTGCAATACCCAAGAACTTCCTGGGAAATCCATTAGGATATTCCTAGAATATACCTATGAGATTCTCAGTACATCCTGAAAAGAATATTCCTGTTTGATTCTAAAAATATGCTTGAAATGTATATTCTCACATCACATTCAAAGAATGTTTCTATGACATTATAGTTTTCAAAAGAATATTATACCAATATGCTTGAAATATTCTTAGAATATATCTACATGTATGATTCTAATATGCATCCTAGACATAACATTCTTGTTTGATTCTAGGGATATACTTGGAATGTTAATTTTCGCATCCAAATAATGCTCCTTTCAGTCCTTTTATATGAAAGGCAATGAAAGAGTTGTTGGAAAACTTCTCTGGAAAACACAAGTGTTTAACCGAAGCTTATGCTCTCGTGGCGGTAAGCACGCTAAGTGAGAGAAACAGGTTCCAAGGTGATTCAAACGCTAGGCAAGATGTAGATCTTCAATAGCGCGTGGCTCCCTCTCTTGGAAGTCCTACAAAGCAAAAGAAAAAGAATATGCCTATAATATTTTTAGTAGGTTCTAGATAGAACATTATTGTTTAATTGTTCAATTAGGATTTTTGACTAGATACTTCAGATAATTAGGTGAATAATATGAAAATATTCTTATCATGGTTACCTACCTACATAAACTTCTCAGCACAACTTGGTAGGTATATTCTTAATACTTGATAGATATATTAGCCGAAATAACATTTTTTAGGGTACATTATAATAATGTTCGTATGACAATATTCAAATAATGTTATATAAGGTAGGTTCTTAGCACAATCTTTCAGGTAGGTGCATAGAAGCAACATTCCTAGTACATAAATAGAACGTTCAAAAATTAATATTTCAATCGAAACAATCTTAGAATATTCATTAAACATTCCTAAAAGAACCTTCCAAAAAGCACTTTGAGGGAATATTCTGAGAATATGAATGTTCTTTCACGGTTATGTGGGTACCTACCTATTAATAACAAAAATGTTATAGGTATTCAAAATTGTGACATATTAAAGCTGCTGTCCATAATTCTTCAATAATGGTTGATAAATTGCAATAATTGTTCACCCATTAAAGTTCCCAACGTACCTATAATAACTATACTGAAATTCAAACTTCCGGCATAACAATGTCGTCCGTTCTTTGCATCCGCGAAGATTTCGATCCAATTTTATCTCGCATGTAGGACCTTGGCTTAGATTCTCAGCCAAGGCAAGGTCGGCGTGTGCGGGAAGGGTTTGTAAATTATAGTCCGAGCATTTAAAGAACTTCCATAAACGCTGCTGCTACTAAAATATTTTCTTATGCTTGACTTTCTTATTGTCCGGACTAATGTTTTTTATTTAATACATCACTTCTTGCATATAAAACCAAAAACCTGATTGCAACAGTTTTTAGTCGTGAGTGACAACAAGGAAGTGTTTGCTGAACCAGTAAAAAACTCCAGTTAATTTCTATCGGAATAAATCCTAAAAAAAATAAAGTAAGTAGAGTGTAACAGTATTTCGTGTACTAGTTATAAGGTTAGTGATATAGTGACATAAGCTGTTAAGATAATTAAGATGTTGAAGATTAAAATTTTATCGAATAATATACACTTGCCAAGTTGCCGTTGGAAATGCGGCCAAAAAAGATCATTCAAAATCTTGGTTTTTTCAAAATTAAGATTTTTGTTGCCCCGACCGATAAAGATCAATTTAGTTTTCACGTTTTTTCAACGCTGGTATTTATTAAAATGAAGCCATTGTTTTTGTTACTCAGTTGTGAGCTTTGTCATCATCTATATAATTTTTTGAATAATTTTCTGTAAAATATCGTGAATAAATTGGCTCCGATTATTGACCTGACAGAAATTTCTCTAGAAATCCCTGAAATAAATAAGAAAAAAGTGACTAATTTTATTTTCCTTCCAACACTATGAGAAAATTGAATTTCACTGTCTCATTAGGGACGAGAAAGTAGGAGTGCAGCGAAATAAGGTAAAATATTTTTCAATTTTTTAGTTTTTTTTGAGGTGGTATAACCAGATGAAACATTTATGATATCAGTAGATGCGTCATTGGACATACAAAATGACCGTTTAAGACTTTTTTTTAACAGTACCGATTTTTTCTAGATCGAAAATTATGTAAAATTTACTTTTACACAAGGGGTCGACTGATACCTGTTTTAAAAGAGCGTTCAATTCTTTTTCATTTGAAAACAATTGAACGCTCTTTTAAAACAGGTATCACTCGACCCCCTATTCCATTTGGATTGGTAAGGGTTGGTCCCACGTACCACCCCCCCTAGAGGGTTAAGTTAGTGCTGAAAATGTTTCAAACACTCACACAATCAAATTACGTGTACGAGGGATTTTAAAAAAAAAAGTGACAGGTACTTGGCCTGTTTCGTTTTAAATGGTATACCCTGTATATTTACCTATATATTTTTTTAAATTAGTATTGAAAACCGCGGAAAAAAATCACAATAGAAAGAAGTGTACTAAAAAATACCGGGTGGGGCACGAAAAACTTTCCACTCAGGTTTTTTCAGGTGTTAGGTGTTTAATCAAAAATCGCTCAGACACGTCAATTTTTGTTTTTTGGGGGACACATTTTATATTTTATTGGTATTTTCACCTACCTGTGAAACTCTAAGTGGGGGTAACAGGTCTTGCTACTATTAACCCTGCCGAAATGGCGGCATGTCAAAGTTAGGATAAATGCTTTTTTTCGATTATACCACTCACTGTAAATTTTTCCCATATGACACGAGAGGCTTAAGAAGTGATGAGCCTTGGGATTATCGCGCTTGGTGGCATTTGGGATTATCGCGCTTGGTGGCAATGATTATAGCAAATTTTATTATAGATTTTTTTTTGTTTCATCTCTTTCTTATACAAGCTAGTAGAAAAAGACAAGAATAAGCTCAGTGCGCACTAACGCTTTCAATAGAATCCGCTATTACTATCACTTGGTGGATTTGCTAAAGCCACTGTTGCTTGGTAACGCATAATCAAATTTTTATTTAAAAAAAAAATGTCAAACCAAATTAGATTTGGAAAAGTTTCTTTGCCCGAGGTGGACGAAAACATAAGAAATTTAAAGCCAAAAAATACCGAGAAGTCGGACAAATATGTTTGGAAGCAATTCACGGATTTTTGTCGTGAAAAAAAACACCACTTCGAAAGTATGACGCCAGAGGAAGAACTATCAAAAATACTGAAGGACTGGGCGTACAACATGCGCAAAACAGATGGAAGCAATTATAAAGAAAGTGTCATCAAGCTTCTTTGGAATAAAACTGCTAAAATGCTACAAAACCTTTACTTTGAAAAGCATAATCGGCGCATAGACCCTTTCAATGATCAAGTTTTTCAAGAGGCCCGAAATGCTAGGAATGCCAAGAGAAAAGAACTTCAACAAGTGTTCAGTGCCCGGAAAGTGAGCTCGACAGCTTTAACAAGACCAGAAATTGAAAAAATGGCCTCAAATTCGAACGAAAACACTCCCGATGGACTTCAAAAAAAGTTTTTTTTTTATTGCTGCATCCGAATTGGCATGGCGTGTTAACGAAGGTGCTTTTTGCGAGGTGGAATTTTTCAGACAGGAAAGGCACAATGACGGGTCCCTTACCGGTCGCCTGGAATATAATCCTATATTTACCAAAACTACTCAAGGAGGCGCCAATAGAGTATCAGAAAGTAAGTGGCTGGTAAAAAATGTTTTACATCCTGATTTCTGTCCAGTTCGACTTTTTTTAAAATTGATGTCTAAGAGGGGGACGAACATTCAAACAAATAGACTATTTTTGACTGCTAATAAAAATTGGAATGCTAGCGCTCTCCTTGGTACAAAAACTGCCCGGTTGGCGTTAATACTGTCAGTAAATGGATGGAATTGGGTGCAAAAAGCAGCGGATTAGATACCAACAACAAAAAATTCACAAATCATTCTCATAGAGCCTCAGCTGTGAGCACACTCACTAGTTCTGGTGCAAATCTTCAAGAGGTTATAAAAATGACTGGACATAGCTCTATAAACTCCGTGATGCCGTACCTCCAGCTTACTGAACAACATCATAATAAAATTATTTCGAACATGAGGGAAGAACATGGAGCATCCACTTCTGACAACGACCAACCCATCAGAAGTTCTGTAGAAAATCAAACAGGAATTAGCAATATTTATTATAATAATTGTTCATTTATTATTAATAATAATAAAAATTAATAAAGTATTAAAGTTTAGTTCGTTGTATAACCTTTTGAATACCACTCGATGTTTCAGGATTACCTAATACTTTTACCTGACACTCAACGCGTTAGCAGCAACACCACTCCTCCAAGGAGGAGTGGTGTTGCTGCGTAACGCGTTTCGTGACAGGTAAAAGTATTATCCGGTAATCCCGAAACCTCTTGTGGTATTACATTCGATAATCTAAGCTGTAAAGTTTTTACCTGTCACACCTATGCGTAGGTTGGTAACAGGTAAAAACCACATAGCATTTTTCCATTGATTTTTCCTAACTTTGACAAGCCGCCATTTCGACAGGGTAAATAGTAGCAACTTGAAACTTCAGGGATATAATCTTAATGAAAATAGCTATCAAATGACGTATCACTCGGCCCTCTTTTCATTTGAAATTTTGTGGGTACCTGTCACCCCCACTTAGGGGTCCACAGGTAGGCGGTGAAAATAGCAATAAAATGTGTCCCCCAAAAAACAAAAATTGACGTGTCTGAGCGATTTTCGATTAAACACCTAACACCTGAGAAAACCTGGGTGGAAAATTTTTCGTGCCCCACCCGGTATGTAACTTGTCGCAGTTAGAATATTATATAAAAGCTCCCGTCACATGAGTCCTAAAAGATTCGGCAATTATTAACATTGAAATCAACTAATGAAAAAGCTACCGACTTTAGGAGCTTAATAAAATTATGGCCTTTGATGCATGTTTTAATAGATTGGATATCAGGATATCTGTGATTTTTATCTGCGATATGGTTTTGCCATTTTATTTTCCGCGAAGGGGAAATATGGTTCAATTACATTTAGACAGTATTAAATATAGTGGTGCCGCGAGACGAGACTAGACGAGACTTAGGGTTGGTCTCGTCTCGTCTCGACATCTCGAGACGAGACCGTGACTTAGTCTCGGTCTCGAGTACCAAAGTCTCGTCTCGTCTCGACTGGTCTCGTCTGGTCTCCAGTTATACAGGGTGTCCAAAAAATTGCGTAAAAGCTCTTCTCTATGCGGTGGAGGACCCTACAAGGAACCCCAGAAAAATACTTTCAAAAATCTAGTGGCATTCTTAAGAAAGTTATTTGCATTTTAATATTTATTAAAATTGGCAAAACTGAAAATATCCCGTTGACAATATGTCAGAGAATTAAATTAAATACCTATGTAATTACCTAAATAATTCGAAGGTGAAATTTCACATCTACCTCTTCATATTACCAAGAATAATGCTGGAGAAGGATTTTTTTAATTTAATTATTTTTCTAGGGTTTCTCAAATTGTCCGCTACTACGTGGAGAGCTTTTACGCTATTTCTCGGACAGCATGTATTTGTGGTTTTTATTTTTATATTATAATGGAACTCCAAACTGCCACAGTGAAAAAACAATTAGTGAAAAATCACAGTAAAGAGTAACCGTGATATTTAATTTACTGATTTCATATTCAAATAGCCCAGAATAGTCCAATAATAACACTATGAAAGAAAAAATTCAAGTGTAATCTCGAGACTCGAGACTACACGAGACTCTCGCCGAGTCTGGTCTCGTCTCGTCGAGACTTCACGAGACGAGACCAAAAGCCAGTCTCGTCTCGAAAAGTCAAGACGAGACGAGACGAGACGAGACCAGTCTCGAGTCTCGCGGCATCACTAATTAAATATTTACCTAAGTAAGTACTAAATTTGAGTAAGCTTTCATAACAAAAGATAGGCACCGAATTAAATATCAATAAACAAGCTGACCAAGACAAGCTTTGCCAAGACTAACCGAACATGAAACCTGCAAATTTTTCATATTTCAAAGTTAAGTGGCAGTCTGAAAATAAATTTTATTTTCAACCACATATGTAATGTTGACTTTACTGACTTTTAAAAAGTTCGAAAATGTCACTTTTTTGACTTTTACTTTCGGCCCACGGGTCGAAAGTTTACTTTCGACCCGTGGGCCGAAAGTAAATGAAATTTTTAAAATTTATTGTATTTTTTTACTTTTACTTTCGGCCCACGGGTCGAAAGTAAACTTTCGACCCGTGGGCCGAAAGTAAATGAAATTGTTAATTATTGTATTTTTTAGTTTTCATTCAAATCAAAATTTCAAAATTCGAATGATTGTAAATAAAATAGTATACATACCTCGATGAAAAGTTTCATTACTGTCTCGAGATTTTAGTTAGACCTCGGCTGCGCCTCGGTCTAACTCTAATCTCTAATGAAACACTTTCCACCTCGGTATGTAATATACTATTAATTTATAAATA